TGGCTTTTTGTGTGTGGCTAGCTGCAAATAAAGGACAAGAACTTGACCACAAACCCTATACCAACCCGTCTGGCCAGCGTGGTATAGTAGGCCAAAACCTTCTTTCTAAGGAGAGGCCTATCTCCAGCAGTGGACTAGTAAAGGCTGTTGATGATGATGATTAATGAAATGATGTTGGTAATGGAAAATGAGGTGATTTGATCTATTTATCTCAAAAAAAATCCACATTACAACCACATTTTGAACCTCTAGTATCTTCTAAAATATTCATTTTAATAATATGCTGTACAGAGTAATTTTAATCTACTTTAAAATGCACAACATATTGAACTTATTTAATTGTATAAGGAATAATAATGTATTGTTTAAAATGGCTTCTTAAATAACCCATTATTTTTTGTAATATTTAAAGATAAAAATGGAAACTGTGGGTTATGCTTAAGAGATAGACACATACCATCGCGGATTTTTTTGCAGACCTTTTTAAGATATATAATTCCGTAGTACATTATTTTGGTCTATCTCATAAGGTTTGGCCAGCGTTTGCAATGTAAGTGCACAAAAACATGTTTTTTTTTCTATTTTATACTATGTAAATGTTCTCCTTTTTAGTCAATTTCCGAAAGAGATGTACGGAATCACGAGCGACGCAGCATCCAGAATACATTTAGGGACAAAAAGAGAACATATATACTCAGAGTTGCCAGAAGTTTTAACTATATATTTTTCAGCAATGAAATGGGGACAACATATCGAAGACGAGAACTATATAAAAACAATAAAAAAGAATAAAATTGAAGTTTGCTTTGCAACCCATTGTGGACGTGACGAATTATTATATTTTATAAATTATTTTAAACCTAAACGTATTGTCGGTTTTCCTGAGCCTTACAATAAGGTCGCTCCCTCGGAGTTTGAATGTCCGTTAGATTTTCAAATTTCTGAACGTTTAAAACGAAGGAGATCAAATTCAGAAAGTGAAAATTTGGCGGTAGGTAAAAAAATTTCTAAAAGTGACGTCACTACTCTATTTGATTGGTGAAATATATGGTTTTTTCATAATATTAGTAGGTTTTATATTTAAAGAAGGTAAAATAATGAAAAAACTATAAGTACTGTGATATTTTAAAACACAACTTGGCTCAAAAGCCTTTTAAGCTTCACTAAACGGCGTCATATTGTCAAGATGCGTTACGTCCGGCCTACTAAATTGAAAACGATTTATTATTAAATTTTTCTAATAGTTTTCTTGAAACTATTCAAATTGTGGAAATAAGTAATATCACAAATTAGAAATTCTTAATGGGTATGATTGGTAATAATAACACGTTTTGTTCTAAAGATTCATATTGGCTACAATAGCATGAGCATTTTTTTTTTGTTCTTTTTGCCATTGTTGCAGTTAAGTAATTTATTTGTCTACTTAAAAATATAAAGAAGATAATTTTATAAATAGTATTGTTAACAATTGATAACTGATGAAATAAAACGGTAGATAAAAATGAAATTCAATGTTATTTTTGTATTTTATTTTGGAGTGGATTTTGTCCTAAATTGATCTCTTTGTATTAAAAAGGACTATACTCCAAAAAGCATAGACAAATAATTGTTTGTTTAATAAAAAATAAACTGGCTTTTTCATTGATTGAATATAAGATGCTTAGTGCAGTAATTAATTTACTCGAATTCATCTGATTTTTTTAAAGTCTATCCTTCATCATCAACTGAGACAATTGGAAAACATATTTATTTATGTGATAACATCTTTCCTATCAGTTCCTGCAATCTGTTGGAGGTATTTTGTGAAACGGGACGGAAGAGTGTAACAGGGCGTTGACTAAGACCGCGCTTTTTGATTTGACCAATGAGCGTGCAATGCTAGCGTCACGGTACAATTATAATACAGTATTGTAACTCGGCCGCATGATAGAAATAAATGCCTACAGCCGCGCGGTACGTAAACATGCGTTAGGGCTGCCCGTCTCCAGCATTTTAATTATATTTGCCTACTTTCTGTTTCTATTTAGATTTGTGATTGTAAATATCCTTTTTATATAAATAAATGAAATACTTTGGATATTGAATAGGAAGTGTTCAATAAAAATGCGTGTTGTTTTTTTGATTCTCTCCCTATAAATTTTGATACACTACCTATTTCACTCGTCTCAATAACTTTCCGTTACTCCATTTGCTTTATTTATTAACCCAAACACCTTTTTTTTCGTGAGATAAAAGGAAATACTTATCCATTAAAAGACCACACATTATGTACACACTAGTAAGTAAAATTATTTTATAGTCTTACCTTTCAGAGTTTTCAGGTAATTTAAAAAAACTTATGTCTGGTATGCGTTATTGACGAATTCATACAACCAAAAACAGCACAATAATTTCCTACTCGTCATATTAACTGATTTTAGAGAAAAAAATCGCGCGGTTATTGTTAAAAAAACAACACACAGTCCGTTCGACACTGCGGTACAGCCGTGACTGTCTGCGCCCCGAGCGCACCCCGAGATCGAGGCGCGTAGGTATAGCTCGCGTTTCGTCCGTTTGTATGAAGTTGGAGTACTGTATTATAATAGTACCGTGCTAGCGTTGCCTGTCAGATGGTAGGTGCCTATTATGATGTTACATCTGACGTACGTTTTTTAAACAATAGTTATGAACTTCTTAATAGTTTTTAGCTGTTTAGCTTCTTGTATATTAGTAGTATGTTCTTGTAGTTAGTAAGTTTGTCTAGTAAAAAGATGTAAAACAATCTGTGATGATACCCAATAGGTTATGTAAATATAAAATAAATGATTGTCTTTGAAAACAAATTAGTTAATGATTCTTATGAAATTAAGTGTTACATACGACTTTTTCTTTTATTGTTAAACCAAACATTAAAATTAGTTATTGCAAAGCATGACTTCATAAATAAAAAAAGTATTGCCGTACTGGGTAAATTCATTACAATTTTTTTTTGACATTTTTTTACTGTGGTAATTATGTTTACGAAAAATATTACTTCAAATAATTTCTTGTTATTTATTGAGATTTTATTTTCTTAGCATTTTTTGAACTTTATGAATTTTAGTTTTTCGAAGAGTGCATAAATTTTACTTTACACTAAAATAAAAATGATTGTTGAATAAAATACTTAATGTTATGTGTTTTTTATAAAGTTACGTTATTTATTTGTACATGGACATCACTTCGTACTGATTTATGTTTAAATTAAGATAGGGTATCAAGAGACTAAAATCGTCTAAATCAGAGTTTTTATCCGAAAGTGGTTCCCGCGCTTTTGAGAACAGGTACTAGTCGGGACAGCTGTTCTCGGATCCCTTCTATTTAAAACGTAGTATGGCATTTAGTCTGGTTTCAGTCGGTTCGATTCCGACACATTGGCCTACTGCAAACACCGGTGAGGTGACGGCTCGAGGGGGTTCCACTCTTACAACTATTTTTGTAACTTATTGTAAGTCAATAAAATTTTTTTTACCATCATTTGTCTTTCTTTTATAAATCACAGCCTAAAACCCTCATTTTTTCCCACTCGCAACCCTATTATATCTTGAGAATAAATGAAATAGTTGTGTGCATCTGGATGGAGGGCCCATTTTTTATATAATAAAACACATTTAAAAAACATCAGTCTAGCCGTTCATTTGTAATAAATGGTATAAGGAAAAGCAACTGACACCTCACGTAGTGTTGTCTATGGTTTGTTTTGAAAATACCGCAAAATGTAACCGAAGTTGACCGCTCGTTGTTTGTTTTGTGAAAGTGTTACGAGTTTCTACGAGTATTATTATAATAAAACTTATTATGGAGGAACGAAGTTCGCCGGGTCAGATAGTTATAAATAGAAAATACCCAAACTCCGAAGCAAAAATTTGCAGATCACAAACACTTGGTCCGACCCAGGAATCGAACCCGAGACCTCAGCACAGCAGTCGCATACGCTACCACTGCACCACCGACGCAGTCTGCTCGGTTGCTATGCTGTAGTTGTTTTTTTTAAATAAGGACACCTACAACCCAAGGCCCACAAGTCCTTTGTCGCCTTTTGAGTTTCCTGTTTCCTCCCCCTAGAATCAAGGGGACTCCCCTTGGACTCGGGTAACCTCACCCACTTGATGAAAGTAACAAAAGAAGTTTGCTAACACCGGTTTTCTGCGAGGCCGTGCTCCAATCAAGCCGGCCTATTTGATACAAACACTTCAATGTACAGAGTCTATAGTTTATTATTGTGCTGATAGACTTGCAAACGTAAGCTCTAAAAAATATGCAGGAGCTTTTTAGCATGCATTCTAGCGAAACGACAGATAGGCTTCGCGCTTTTTGTCGAGCCAAGTTTTGTCATTGTTAAGCCGCCGTGCCTCTCCGTCCACAGCTACACCGGCTTCACGACCTTCGCTGTCGTTGCCTAAAATAATCGTAAAAGTATTTATAGCGATGTTTGGCTCTATGCTTGACTCTGTTCGTTGTTCAGTTCGACAAATTTAAAAACGGCAAATGCTCGTTGTTCGGTTTTAGGTAATTTTTTAAATCATTGAGCACTTCAACAAACATCATATCGATCAGCACCATTTAATTACTTACTACAACGAAGCGCGAAGACTCGTATTACGTGTATTAAAGGCACTGTGGTGACTTCCACAATACGATGAAAATAAAGAAATATACTACAGCGCCATCTAACAAAGACACAGACACACTACGAAGTAACTGCTAATTAACAATTCTCTCGCCGATTAGATATACAACTTCTTAACATCATTCAGGCAGTGGCCCGCCAGGCATGATTACCTCGCGTGGTCGGAGGATTTCCTTTGTGTGTGAGAACATGACACCAGTTCCTCCACAGTGGTGACCCCGAAATGTACACTCCCACAGCGATGAGCAGTAATCAAGTCTCAGCCAGTCAGAAATCTCGGCCTCAGGGATACCAGACAGTGAAAAGAGGTTATACTTAACAAGAATAAACATAGAATATAAAATTCTCATTGTCATAATTGTTTATTCTTTCCATCAACTTCATCAAGTTTTTGTTTGACAACATTGAAGGCTTCTGCAGCTTTTCTAGAGTAATGTTGAACGTATGATTGGACAGTTTTAGATTTCAAAGCATCTGCCAACACATCCACAAGACTTGTAGTATCCATCTTCAACATAACAGACGGCCGTTTATTCTCGAAGTGAACTATCGCTGGCTCTGAAATGTATATAATAAAATTAAATAAAAATTAAAATAGATACACAAAATTAAACACGGAGATAGTTCTCATTACGTCTAGGTATACTACATAGTTACCTACAGATAAAAGAAAGTAACTTGAGCCGTTGACTCAATAATAGGAAAAAAACTAAAGAACATCATTGAACGATTTTTAATATTGTAATATATTTATGTTTTTCATATAAATAATAACTCAGCATTCTGTGATGCACTAGTAACTAAAGCAACAAAATCCTTCATATGCGTACCTTTTTTTTTCTTTTTTTACGTGTGCCCCGGGCCGTCACCCCACCGGCGTTTGCGGCGTATATTATGCGTACTTACCTGACATACGTGGTGTAAAATAAAGTAAAGACAAAATTAAATTTTTCATGTTTTACAATAATTAGGTGACAACATTTTTTAATTATTTGGTAATTCAATACAAAGTGTGACCACCTCTGTTGTTTAAAATTTATCCACATGTGATTTATCATTGAGTTTATAAGATTGTTTATCTGATTATAAGAGTCATTCAATTGTTAAATTGTCGACACTTCGTTCAGGTTCTCTAAAACACGTCTCTGGAGCATGTCCCATGCATGCTCGAACTGATTGAGGTCCGACGATTGTGCAGGCCACGGCAATACCCGGACGTTTTTCATTGCCAAGTACTCTCTGGTCCTCCGAGCTGTGTGCAAACGCACATTGTCATGCATCAGCGTGATATATGAGCCAAGACTTTGTGCAAATGGGTGAACATTAGGCCCGGGGACATCTTCAACGTAAGTTTCAACATTCATATTGCCATCTACAAAAACGAACTCAGTTCGTCAGGTTTTTTATAATAGCACACTGTGGAGCCATTGTAAGGGTGCACTTCCTGGACGCATCTCAGCAGTTCAGCATTCCGGGATGACGATATACTGTAACCCTTTTCGTATCAGGCGTAAATCCAAACCGGGACTCATCACGAAATAAAATTTTATTCCATTGCTCCTGGGTCCATGTCAGGTGTTCCCTACACCATTCGTTTCAACGGGCGCGATTCCCATGGCGTATAGGTTGGCACCTAGTAGGGCGTTGTGTTCGTAGGCCGTATTCATGCAGCCTATTTGTTAGTTTGGATGCTAACAAGGACACCGCTTGAGAAATGTTACTTTAAACCTATAACCTAACATCGGCTGACGTCTAGCAGTCAGCAATCTAATGGCGTCGCTCCATGACATAAAATATCACCATTTTTTTTTTTAAACTGCATATCTCAAAATGATAAAAGTAAGATAAATACCAAATTTATCAAGCAAGAAAAAGAATTCGGGAAAAAAATTCTTAACTTATTTTAATAAAAACAAAACACAATCGAAAAGTTTCCACTATTAAAACCACCCAATATTTATTTCGGAAAACAAAAAATATTTTATACCAATCTACTTTGCTAAGGAAAAAATAAAGTAATATGCAGCTTCTGTAATAGATGAGTGTTGCTTAGACTCTTTTGAAGTGTGCAGGTAGATCGAATTTCGTGAGAAAGAGATCTTGGCAGTTTGATCGAAACCTTTTTTTTTACCTTTGGATCTGCTATCTAAATTCAAACCAACCATAGTTTCTTCAAATCCACAGGTTAAAGCATATATTTGCGTATCATACTGAGATACACTTTTTAATACATTAACAAAATAGTTATTTATGCATAGAAAATCCTTGAAATAATAATATTTTCGGACTTCTGACGCACAACGCCATCTAGTTTCAAACTAAGCAGAGATTGCACTATGAAAGCTAGATTGACTGATAAGATACTTAAATACGTTTTTTACAAACTCCAAAAAAAATATTTGCAGAGCATACAAACATTTGGTCCGAGCCGGGAATCGAACACAAGACCTCGGCACAGCAGTCGCATATGCTACCACTGCACCACCGAGGCAGTCTACTAAATACCAATAATAATAATACTTACGAACTAGATCCCTATCGTTAGACCTCCTAGATTTGGGTTTAGAATTAGTTTTAGCATATTCTAAAATCTTTTTTGCAATACTGTCAACAATTTCCTCGGGTTTTTCTTGCGCCAACATTTTTTTTACCCCTGACAACACCTCATTTTCTGTTATCTTTGACTCTGTCACTTGACTGTCAGTGTCATTTGTGACATTATTTAATCTGTCATCCGCTTTGTAAGAAGTTGACTCGTGGTTTTTAATGCTACGTTCTGGATAAGAACATACGAGTTTGATGCTTGAAGATGCTACAATTCAATTATTAAGACAATTAAAGTTAATGTGTGTAAAGTTCAAGATTTACAAGTATTTAAACAGATTTAAAAGTTCCATCTTTCTTTATGATCACTGCTCCGCTCCTCAGCGTCGTAGCGAAATGTTACAGTTACTAAAAGATTCCTCAAAAAATACTCCACCTAATACGAAAATAGTAACTAAAACCAAAGAAAAACCTAATTTATTAAGCTAGCTAGCTTCTGCTTTACCATGCCAGTTACCGTGGTAAAAGTAACCTTTGTTACTAGCTGATAATGGAGCTTTTCATTGGTGAAAGAGTTTTTTTAAATCGGTTTAGTAGTTTAGGCGTGAAAGAGTAACAAACAAACTCACTTTCAAATCTATAAAAATAAATAAAATTGTAGTGTCTGTTTGTAATATCAAAATAATAGATTATTTTCATGTCCACACGGTTATTTGCACGATACCTATGCCTAAAAACCAGTTTAAATATTTTTTATCTGTCTTTTCAGTTAATCTTCAAAACGGCTATACCTATTTTGATAATATATTACTATCAGGTAGCTGTCTATATAAGGAGTAACTTATGTTATAAAATTTTGTCCAGTCCGAGAATCGAACCTGCAAAGGCAGTGCTTTTCAAATTCCACGCGAAAGAAGTCGCAGACCAGCTAGTTTATAATATATAACTATAGATTATTATATAATTAAATACAAATATTTACCTATTAAAATAATTATCAACCGGAACATCTTAAAAGTATTTATCAAGTAAGAATATTCTCGAAATAAACATAATTAAAACAAAATCGATTGTACTTAAAATAACTAATTATAAAATTTATAGTTTAATTATAACTGTAATAAGTACCTTATTTCATTTGCAACATTATATAAACTAAGGTAAATGCTCACTGTATCGATTTAATAAGGAATTGTTATTTAAGATAACTAGAGATGACGAGATGGTAAACACACAGGGCGTAAGGGACGTCGTTACGAATACTGAAATAGTGTATTCAGACGATCATTCTGAGTCGAAAATCGTTGGAATTTTCTGTAATCATTTATCATCAGGTGACCGACTTCTCGTTTGCCCTCCATACCATTAAAACTCCGCTCAACAAATAATTTTCTTCTCCTGTGTCCCTCCCATAATTCCGACTTGGTGAACTCTTCGAGCCGACTAAGGGAGCAAACCGCGCAGGACAACAACACTGAAAATTGAAGGAAAACTTGACACAAACCCTATATCAACCCGTCTGGCCAGTCTGGTATAGTAGACCAAAACCTCCTTTCTAAGGAGAGGCCCATGTCCAGCAGTGGACTATTAAAGGCTGTTGATGAAGTATCATATACCAGGACCCGCGAGTAGCTACTAACGCTAACAAATCCATACCAATATTATAAACGCCAAAGTGTGTCAGTCTGTCTACCTGTCTGTCTATTTGTTACCTCTTCACGCTTAAACCGCTGTACCGATTTAGATGAAATTCGGCACAGAGATATTTTGAGTCCCGGGAAAAGACATAGGATAGTTTTTATCCCAGAAATCATTCTTTAAGAGGGTGAAAGGGGGGGTTGAAGTTTGTAAATATCAAAAAGAATTAAGGGGGTTAAAGTTTGTATACATGTTGTTTTATTATTGTTGTACTCATGGCCAAACACATACATATTATAGATAAATTAGGGGGGATTTTTGATTATTGATGGGAATCGAACCTATGACCTCCGGCTTAGCAGTCACTAGACCAACAGACCCGTCATTAAAGGCTGTTGATGATGATGATGAAACTACAATTCCCAGAGACTCACTTTCGTTCTTTCTGTCTAATGAAAATAAACCTTTAAAGCTTCAAAATAGTAAACTTTTATGCGAATGATTAAAATTATTCTATCATTAATATTTAAGTTAAATGTTGCGTTTTAATTAGCGGAAAATTATAAACTGATAAAATTACGTAAAATAATGTTAGTAAATGTTTTTTCAATTATACGTTTAACACCTAAACTATAAGAATGCTGCGTTCTGCTATAATCATCTTTGGTAAATATAAATTTATTTCTTATTAAATACATTGTTGCATAAAATCTGTTCTGTTTTAATCGCATTTTTATTATTTTTACTAATCCAGACGATCTCCACTTAAGATGACATCAAATTTTCTTCTTAATTCTTTTTGAAATATTGCTGGTACTTAATTAGATGACTAGCGACTATGCTCGCGTGGAATTTCAAAAGTGCTGTTACAGGTGTTTCTATGTATATATACATATGTACACAAAAAAAAAAAAAAAGTATATATGTATTTATATCAGTTGCCTAGTACCCATAGTACAAGCTCTGCTTAGTTTGGAACTAGATGGCGTTGTGTGAATGTGGTAGAATATTAAATTATATTACATATTAATAAAGCTGTGTGGTACGGAACGCGACTGCAGTCCATGAGGCGTCGGGTATCATTCCGAGACCGGGCAAAATTTTAAAAGGTTTTTCTGAGGGGAGAAATAGCCTAAGTTACTCCTTATAGAGACAGCTACCTGGTCGTGAAATACTATCAAAATCCAGCTGTTTAGAAGATTACCCGAAACAAAAAGATAGACAGACAACAATCTTTAAATCGGTTATTAGGCATAGGTATCGTGCAAATAACCGTGTGAACATGAAAAAAACCAATAATTTTGACGTTACAAACAGACATGTCAATTTTATTTATTTGTATAATTAAGATTATGTATACCCATTCTTTCGTGGGCTATCTGGTAGGGGCTAGACCCTTACCAGATAGTCCACGAAATAATATATAATATAAAGATAATAAGATATTTTCATCCGTGTAGTGACGGATTAAGAATACGGAATGTCACTACCCCAATTCATCCCGTGGGTGTCGTAAAAGCCGACTAAGGGGAAAAAGAACGCAGGACACCAGCACTGCAAAAAGAAGGAAAACTTGACACAAACCCTATACCAACCCGTCTGGCCAGCGTGGTATAGTAGGCCAAAACCTCCTTTCTAAGGAGAGGCCTATGTCCAGCAGTGGACTATTAAAGGCTGTTGTGGTGTGTGTGGTGGTGTGGAAGGTATTTTCACATCAACTCTCTCTTGACGGCGAACGTGTTCGGTATTGCGATGATTGGTAAAGGTTTTTAGGTCATCGTGAATATCGATTACACACTCAAACTAGGGTCTCCGATCAATATTTAATGAGAAAATAACAAGCTAAAAATTTTCCAGTTGCTCTATCCATTTTGGATGTTCATTCTTATGTATTGAAAAATGAAAACACCAGCAAAGAAACGGAACTTCAGAACAGTGATGACGTACAGAACGATCGCATTTCTAGACGAAGATACACATCTCACGGCGAAAATTCTGAAAACAAAATGGCGCGTTTAAATTTAAAATCTGACAAGAAAACGTCAGAATCTCTGGAGAGCGTAGTGTTGGCTTTGAATACTGGTATTAACAAAATACTGGAACAAAACAAGAAAACTGATTTTCTTGATAAATATGCAAAACAATTAGTCCATCTTTTTAGTGGGCATGGTGACGGACACAAGTCTAATGTTAGAGAGAATAAATACGGCATAAGTAAGTTTTATAATATTATAAATGAATGCTTACAGATTAAATAATTTGGTTTTTACCAACTTTAAACCGTCGGATTGTACTGAAACTTAGCACACTTATTACTTAGACAACTAAAATAATTGAACAACTTTGATTATCCTGATCAAGATCTTCAGAACTAACGTTTTTTTTTCTATCCGAATCTAAAAACACGGTAGTGTCTTGTGCCCCCTAGGTACTAAGGTATGTACTGAAGCTTTATGCCTTGTTACTTTTTTGGTTTTTATGATAAAATAATCACTTAAAAAGCAAAAATAAATAATAGTTCAAAAAAAGCTAAAAAAAATCATGCATGCCATACTAAAAACTTGAAAATAATTTTCTATAACTTAAAAAAACCTTTCGATCGTAAAAAAGCGTGATAAGATATTGTGATAATTTTATTTTACTTTTACCAAAAAATATTAACAGCAATTGACATCTAGCCACTCACGCTTTTGACGATAGACAGTTTTATTACTCTATTTTTTTATTTATGGTTTTTTTATGGTTTTTAGTTCTGCTAGTTACAAAAACAGTTATTTATTCATGAAAGTTTTTACCGACGGCATAAAGTGTGTGTTGTCATGGAGATTTTAAGTTAAAACGATAATTTTTTTCAGAGCCCGAAGTCGTTCACTTCAACTCCGAAAAGCCCACGAAAAAAATCGAACTCAACGCAAGAGTATTGTCAAATGCTCTAAGTAACTTTTTGCAGTCGGATACTTTTAAGCACAATTTTGAGAATATAGTCAGGCAAGCCAGCCGCGTCTATCGCGCCGTACAGGAAGCTGATGTTAAAAAGGCATAATATATATTAAAAGTAATAAACTTATTATTGGGTGAATGCTGTTTGATTTTATACACACCAGTTTAGTTAATACGCTAGTGCATCTACTAGTACGCTAGTGCATGCAGTGGTCATGGTTGTGTTTCCCTAAATTAGGAATGCCTCAACAACTTACACAACATACAGCCTATAACAGTCCACTGCTGAACATAGGCCTCTCCTTAGAAAGGAGGTTAAAAAATATTAGGAAATAATATAATACCTAAAACCTAAACCTTAGGAATGCCTACAACCTTGTATTTCACTACATGCCTTGCATTTCGATTAAAGATTTAGTTTTTTTTTTAAATCTACTTCTTAGTTGCCTGCAATTATTCTGACATAACTGGATGTGTGACAAATCGATCAGTGTACTGGAAACCGAATATTAAGACGAACCTAAATCCGGAAACCTGTGAAATTCGAATCCGGATATCCGAACCATCGTTTACTCATTTTTTTCAATTCGTATCCGGATATCTTTACGTCCACTAACTTATTACGTATTTACTATAGTTACTCGCGTAAATGTTAATTTTTTGAATAAATTTGGCCGGAGTAGGCTGTGCTATTCTAGGCTATGACAAATCTCGTCCAGATCCAGAAAACTGTTTTATCATGATTGAGTAACAAACATACTATGTAATATACTAAGAGTTTGGAATCGAAAAGTTGTAACAGTTATTTTTTTATTATATTTGTATTGCGTACGGAGTTGTAAACAGCGACACCTATTGCCCGCGTCGCATTTTTTTGATTTATGCAAAGTAGATTGTAACTATAGTATTGATGTTCTTCGTCCGCCATCGGACCACTAGATGGCGTTGTTTTATTGGTAAGTCATAGTAAGAATTTATCCTGACAAATTGTATTGGTGTTAAAAGTGTCCTGTTATGGTAGGAAGCGAACGTACTTTTGATTTGGTTCGTGTTAACCTCGTTGATAATTTGAGTGACAGTTTAAAATGACTAAAGTAGGGATTATTTCTAGAAAGTTCACAAACCGAGCATATATAAGTCCGGCTTTCAGCCACAGGGGACACTCTGCTAACTCTTGTCTTCCGATCTTAAATAGTATTTTGTTTGTCTGGTGATTTTATTTTAGTAATATTTTATTTGTTCGAAGTACCCACGCCAGTGGTGAGTATATTCTTAATTTTCTTGTACTTATTTGTTTCTGGAACCTGATCGATAATATGAGTGCTAATCCATTCGTAGGGCTCCAGATTTCGGGTCAAGACAATCAGTCTCAGACGGCGTGCTTTTTCGTTTGTGGCCTTCTGGTGCGAATTCGAGTTTCTCAGTACCCTCTGGCAAACTGGCAGTCACGCGGCTCACCAAGCAAGCGAACAGCCTTATTCAAGGGTTACGTACTACTTGTCAATGTTATTAATATCAAAATTGAACCTTCCTTTATACCTAATATAAATAGCCGACTCGGGCGGGTGTGGAAGTGACCTGCTGGATTGAAGACGAGGAGGCTCCGAGCAGCATCAGCTCGGCCTTGACGCGCGCCGCTGCGGGTTTTGTTTATATACCCACTAATTTTTTTTTTTATTGTAACTTTGATTTTTTGGGAAATATACATGTATGTATGACTGAGGTGTAAGTTGTCTTTCTCTAAGGAGTCCCTTAGGTTTCCCACACGCACACACACTTCTGTTTTCTACAAGGCGCCCTGAGGTAATCTCGTGAATCTCTCCACTGGGTAAGCCGGTGAGTAGTCCGCCTGACAAGAAAAGCGGCTACAAAGTTAAAAAATATAGTTCTCCATACAAACTTGCACCTTTTAAAGGATAGATTTGAAAAATTAGTGACAACGGTTTTTATTACTTTTAATAAAGAGTATTTACTGTAAGTTAGAAAACGCTACTACCAAATATAATGCAGTTTCATATAAATTTCCAAACCCCATTTATCATCCTTAAGGGTGGCATTTTTTAAAATCCTTTCTTAGTGCACAACTTCGTCATCTTTTTTTTTGACGGGGTGGAAAATCCCTTCGGCTCTCCTGCTCCTCGGGGCTAGGAGCTAAAAGTATGTGGTGATTCCACTAAAAACCACCTCGACGGCCGGCCTCAGATACTCTGGGAGGACCTGGACCATGTTATTTCAGGTTCTCCCCGAATTGACACCATGCCTAGTGCCCTATCCCAGGGGAAAATTTCTTGCTAGACCCAGCGGTGTCAGATGTGCGTTGATCGACCAGTAAGTGAATCAGTTTCTTCTTTTATAGATATAGAAGATTTAGATGCAGTTACCTCGTCAGTTGATCGTCGTAGGTCTTGCTCATTTTGACGTGTGACAATAGGAAAATCGATTTGCCGCTTGATAGCAACACATCAGTATCGAATGTGTAAACCGTTTAGAATTGATAAAATAATTCAATATGCCACATTTTTAATGATATTTGGGACAAAAGAGCAAATGAATTACATAATGGTAAGTGAATACCAGCACCCGTGAACACATTTTGAGGCGGGAAAACGCTTTTTACTGAAAGTTTTAAGGTATATTATAAAAGAAGAAAGTGACAGCCTCCAACAGTTAGTTTCTTCTTAATAAATAAAATTATACTAGTGATTTCTGAGATTATCCCGTATATACAAACTTACAAACTTTACCTCTTTATAATATTAGTAGAGATAAAGAATATTTACTGTGAGTTTTAAAATTATCAAAAATAACGAAGTTTCATAAAAAATCCCACCCCTATTTTGCAATCTTAGGGTTGGGAATTTTTGAAAATTCTTTCTTAGTGCATACCTACGTCACCAAAGGAGCATTTGTGCTGAATTCCATGCTTCTAGACAGAGTGGTTTCAGCTGTGCGTTGATCTGAACATTTCTCATTCTCTCTCTCATATACATGGGTATGTATGTGAAAGAGAATGAGAAATAGGCGTGAGCGTTCACGCCTATTTCTGACTATAATTTTAGCGCCACTGGCCACTTGAGTAATAGAGACAAGCCTTTTGCCGTCAAAATGGCAGCCTAAGAATCTAATGTGACAATTTGAAGTTAATTGAAAAGAAAGTAGAAGTGGTTGCGGGTGGACCAAGCAGTCTCGTCGCAATATGTTCTTTTCATTTTAAGATATTTCTAGAAAAAAAAAAGCCGTGTGGTATCGTCTGACATCCGATAGGAACGAAGTTGTGACGATCGAGTAAAACTGATTCGACACGATTTTAATTACAACGCCATCTATGAAAGCGGGTATTACCTACATATTTTGCAGTTGGTTTCTAATTAAAACAATTTATACATTGGTAAAATCTCCTTGAGAAATGATGTCGAATACAATCTTTTTTGCTCAACCTAAGAACATAAATTTTAATTTTACTGAGATGAAAAGTAATGATTTCCTATCTATTCGATAGATGGCGCTGAATGACTGACAAGTGACAATTCAAAATAAAAAGTGTCGTTACAACTTTTCGTGAGATTTTTTTCCGTCTAGCCCCCTTTACAACGCGCGATAAGGACCTTCGTTCCAATTATATACAAGGACATTTAGGAAAAAGGACGTTATGCCTCAGACGTATAAAACCACAACATTACAATTTCACTTACAAAAATGGCATCATATACCAAACTACTACAACAAATGTCTTTTTAAATATTTGTTTTAATAGTTTAAAATAAAAACTTCAATGTACAACGTCCATAATTTATTACTTATTACTTAACACAACGGAGGGTATTAGACGGGTAGCTAGCGAGAGCCCAAGCTACCTTTTTCAAAATTAACTTTTTAAATTACTTGCTGTCAAAGTGACATTATTTGTACTTTAAACTGAGCAATCAAGCTATCATAAAATGTTTTATTTATTGAAAATACCACATTTTAAATTTTAGTATTTTTCAACTGCACCTGATATGTCACAAAGCTAGCACGGGCGTAAAGCGTTTGTTTGCTCAACTGTGTTTTCGACTGCATGTAAACACAGTATAGTTAATGTCAATTTCGATGAGTCGATGTTTCGATGATCTTGAGAAAAGGGACGGAAATTTATAACGTCTTAAAGTCTTTTATACACATTCGCACCTTTTTTCGTCTTTCTTGACTTGTAACATTAACTTCTCGCTTTTTAAAAATGTCTGGCAATGATTTCATGACAAGAGGCGGTAGTACTTAGCAGAAAACCAGAGCAGCGTGCGCTATTTGTCTTCGCTAGGGATGACTTGTCTGAGATGTGAAGAGTCCAATTTCGTAATAAAGTTCGGTCACAATTCAGTTCCGATCAACTGTCGATCTCGCAACTGTCATAAAAGGTATTTTCGTAGTAAAATAATAAAGTATTACTAAGACTAGCAGATTATAGATAGTTCAACTCAGTTGTGCGCGCGGCCAGTCGGCAGTCGGACGACGACTGCCACACGAATGAAAGTTGTATATTTACAAGCCCACGCACACATAGGGCCGCGCGCACAACTGAGTTGAACTATCTATACCAATTTAATTTTCAGTTACAATACGATAATTAATCATGTTACAATCAACATTAGATGTTTAATACTTTACTGCGAAAATATATTTTATGACAGTTGTGAGATCGAGTTGATCGTAACTGAATTGTGACTGAACTTCATTACATTAACATATGCGACTACCGTAAGACTCGCCCGTTTTATTTTATTGTCTATGGTATATGTGATTGAAGCCTGTTAGTCAATATTTTAATAAGAATCTTCCAAAGCAATTATATGTAATGGTATACTGTGTTGTATAAATTCTGACATAAATATTCTCAGTCTGAAGAACGCTGCCGAATACGTCATATTTGTTATTTTCTTGTCCACATCAGTGACATTAACACAAATGAAACTTATTAGTTTTCCTCTTCGATACTGAAAACAAAAAATACTTGACAGGAGATTAAACCATCGTCATCTGTCATTTGATAGGGGGCCAAGCGATTTAATTACTTGTTAAATTTCGGTTACTGCGGTAAAAAGTAGCCTATGTCTTGCCTCAAGAATC